CGTCCTGATGCATCTCAGTAATCCAGGTAAAAAAAATCAAAAGGAAAAAAATTGTATAGGTCTTCTGGACGGTTTCTTCTCTAATGAAACGTTTCGTCTCTCCTCCAAGAGACTTCTTCAGTCTGAGAGTTTCAGGCAAAATTCAGGCTTTTAAGCCCTGCCTCCATGTGACTGATACTCACATCACATGGCTATCGTTCACACCTAATTAACATCTATTGTTAACAGGGGGTGATACTGCCAATGGCAGCACTGTAGGAGGGGGACAACTGAAAACGGAGGCCTCCACCTCTGTTTAATGATGGACGGTCTTTCTTCACAAAAATGGCTTCTTTTACTCCTCTCTCAAACCAACGTTCCTCTCTATCAAGAATGAGAACATCCTCATCTCTGAAAGAGTGACCGCTGGCCTGTAAATGAGTGAAAACTGCAGAGTTCTGGCCATTAGATGTACTGTAGCTCGTCTGTGTTGGGACATTCTTTTGGGACAAGCTTTTTTTTGTTTGTTTTTTGTTAAACACTTATAACAGCAATGTTTAACATGCTCCTTTAGGTGATGCCTTCATATGTCAGCAATGGATGGAAAGTCAAGAAACCGTTTTCTGAGCTACTGCCTGAGTTGGATGCTTTGGGTGAGTGTAAGGAATTGAGTGCTGAGAATAAAAAAAAGTCTATTGTGTGAAAACAAACAGAAACAGATGAAAAAGTGATGAAAAAGAATAAGTGTTGCGCGACCGAAGAAAAAGTGAGATGAAGAAGTTTTAAAGGAGAAATGTATTTCTAAAAAAAGACCAAACACTGACACAGATTTTTTTCTTCTTCTTCTTCTTCTTCTTCTTCTTCCCAGCTGTGGACTTTCTGGAGCGCATTTTGACCTTTAACCCCATGGATCGTCTGACAGCTGAAGAGGCCCTGTCCCACCCTTTCCTTCAGAAGTACTCCTGCCCCGAGGACGAGCCCACCTCGTCACATCCCTTCCGCATTGAGGACGAGTTGGACGGCCTCCTTCCAGAGCAGAGCCTGAGCAGCAGCAACAGTCAGACCTCCAGCTTTTGCTGGGAAAGGTACAGATTCAAATATTTGTGTGCATTTGCAGCCTGCATGTCTTTGCCTGGGCTTGCAAACTATTTTATACTGTATTCTCCCAGTACTGAAGAAAAACTCTAGGGATTATTTTACACTTTGAGATTTTCACTATTCTACTGTAGCTGCGCAATTTCTGTTTTTATTTCTTTGTTCATTTTTGTTTTGCAGGTATGATAACAGTTTATCAACAAATATGTGCTGGCAACATTCATGGGGGAAGTGTCGCTGCATACCCCCGGGTCAAAATCTGTCCGACCTGGGAGACAACACAGATAATGAAGAAGTGCAGCGGGACCCCCGGGCCAATTCCAGCTCACTGGCAGAAGAAGCTCAGGTTGGAACTGTCACTTGGTCCTTTCTTGACTGGTTTTGTTATTCTCATTAACCACATTACCACCGTAAAGACGATGTTTAGGCTTTTGAGACACAACCACAGGAATAAATGCAATAGGTGCTGCAGCAATAAACATTAAAAAGGTTTTTTTTTACTACAAAGCAAACTTAACTAGAGAAATTGCATTTCCTGC